TATTGCAGAAAATAGGTTCAATGGCAAACAAACGTTTATAATACCTTATAAGGCATGTAACCAAAACCCATTAAAAAAAACCCATTCACTTGGAGACGAGGGAACCCGAGTGCAAAAATGCTAACTCATTTCCAGGTTTTAGGACTCATTTCTGGGGCACTCGTTACTCATAACCTCCTTTACATAGCTGTTTTTGTATTAAACAAGAAATAACGTGCTTGTAGTTGGATTTTTTTTTTAACTGTTGGACTGAGCTATGTTAGTTTAATGCTTAGCTTAATCAGAGACTAACTGTCTCCTGGCTGTAGCTTTATATTTAATAGACAGACATGAGCGTGGTATTGATCCTCTTCTCTAACTCTTAGCAAGAACAGAAATAAGAGAGTATGTACCAAAATGTCAGACTATTCTTTAATGAGCTTTTGTTCAGAAATATTGATGAAAATTAGTAAGAGTGTAAGAATAAATGTAAAGAGTGTAAGAATAAATCTTTAGATTGTTAAAAGGTTTGACTGATTTATGAATAAGGGTACTTCAATCTGGAACAGACAAGCATTACTGTGATGTTACCATGTTTTATCCATAATAATAATAATAATAATAATCAGTTATGGCTCATGGGATATATGGTTTCACATTATATAAGGCCAGTGGCTTTGGTCCTTTTGGAGGTCTTGAATGATCTCTTTACTTTTGTCAAGAAGACCAAATATCCCAGTGTCACACTGTGCCTTCTGTTGTTCAGCAGCTTATTTTCAAGAAAGCAAATGGAGTGAAGGTGAATGTCAAGGGGTGACATTTCATTTCTTTTTTAACAATAAATAGAACAAAGTATAGCTGTGAATGACCACTTGACAATAAGCACTGATGTTCTTTTTAGGCTATTTGGATACAGTACCACCATAAGGTCAAATGACTATTAAATGGCAGAGGTATTGCTCGGAGGAACAAACCAAACAAAATATTGGACTGTCTTTAGCTAGGTTGCTCCATATAATTGTTGATTAGAATTTCCCAGATGTGTAATTAAGCTACTGTTGGCTAACAAATTTGCCTTTCATATTTTAGAGTGAGAAACGGCACTTTTAAAGTTTCAAATAACTACTCATTGAATTTTATTGTAAAGTGGTGTTCAAGTAGAGTACAAGCTTATGCTAAACTATACCGTAATTGGGCCTAAACCCTGACTGTAAGACCTATATTTGGGTCCCTGGTACTGTATCCAGTACACTCAGTGCTTACTATCAGTGACTGTAACATTTTAACTTCACAACCTGTCACAATGCTGTTGTGTTTTTGTGCCTTCTAAAAAGCATTCAGTCTTTTTGCCAGACATTTGAAAAAGAAAGCTGAATATCTTGTTGCTATTTAAATGTAATGTCATTTCAAGATCCAAAAGTTGTTTTTACAAATAAAAAATTTGGCCTTTGTAAACAAATAACATATACTGCTGGCTTTTTAATGGAAAATTAGAATTATGTCTGTCAAAACATGGATATTTCACACAGATCTTCCCCCTGGCAGCACAGAAGAGCTATACAATTGGCTCAGTTTCAAGGTGGACACCCAAGATTAGTGTCACTAATAAAGTGTCTGACCAAGATATGACATTGAAAAGTGTTTTTGCAGAACATTATGATGTCACAGTGAAGTTGACCTTTGACCCTTTGGATATAACATGTTATCAATTTATCATTTCATCCTATTAGACATTTGTGTGGAAATTTTGTCATAATTTGCGTATGAATTCTTGGCCATCAAATTCAAATCAGTTCATTCTCGACTTAAAGTTGACATTTGTGCCAAATTTGAAGAAATATCCTCACAGCATTGTTGAGATATCACGTTTATGACATTAAGACAGACAAGGTCACAGTGACCTTGACCTTTGACCCATGAACACCAAAATGTAGTCCGTTCATCATTAAGTCCAAGTGAACATTTGTGCCAAATTTGAAATTCCCTCAAGGTATTACTGAGGTATCACATTCATGAAAATGGGATGAACAGACAACCTGAAAACATAATGCCTCCGGCCACAGCTATTGCCGGCACAGAGGCATAAAAACATGATTAATTATCAAGTGTTATCAAACAGTATGTTCACATTACACCTGAGTGTTGCGTACAGTTGACTGCAGGGTTCTTCAGTATAAGCCTCACTGCTGGCTGGTTGGCTTTGAGCACTCAGTTCAGAGGGTAAAGACAGATGTGTGTTTTACTTTGGAAGACTCAAAGATAGCTGCACCAGTTTCCATTTCTGCCATGTATCATCTGTGTTTAGAGAAGCATCAACACCACAGGAAAAGTGATGTGGTGACAGCCAACATTTTGTCAAAACTTTATGCTTCACTATCAAGTTTAATGTTTAAATCAAAGCAACAAATTGAGATATTTATACTTTTTGACTTGATCGGGGAGGAATTTATATTTTCAATTATTTTCCTAGCACTAACATAATTGTCATTCACTTTGGTGACTTAGTTTGGATTTTTTGGAGGACAGAGCAAATCTGTTTTACACAATCGATTATCAATGTAGCATACATGACTGCAATCTTTGTACTGTTTTAACTACTGCAGTCAAAGGTTATTCTAGACCGATATGACCCATTACTGATTTCCTTAGCATGTGCTGCAAAGGGGGGAAGGTAGTATAAACCAAGTGAAGAACTTGAACGGAGCTTCAGGGTTAGCATTTCAATAAAATCACAAAAGGGTATCTCTTAGATGCTGAATAGTATATAATTCTTTATTACTTTTATGCCTCCACATTGAGACAGTAATAACACATTTGTTGTGAGAACAACAATACACAGTTTTTTGCAAAAAAAGTGGGGAAAAACGATTGACTACTTAATGTTCTGAGGAGGGTCTGTGACTGAAACATGAAAAGCTCTACAGGCACTGATTGCTTTGGTGGTGTGCCGCCTTCTCTACTTTTGAACTGATTTGGATTTTTGAGGTTGAGCACCCCACTAGAACACACACTTTGAGGTTCAAAGTTTTAATTTATGATCTAATAATTTTAACTTTAATAATTTTAACTTGGTACGTTTATTTTATTTTTTTTTTATTTGATTTATTTTGAACATGTAAAAGAATTCAAACAAGAATAATAAATAAAAAGAACAGTAATCTTAAGGCTAATTCTCAATATGTATATTCTTGTAAACAACATAAATAAATATTAATTATTTACATGTCAATAAGAAGTAGGAGTAAGTGCACACTTCTATTGTCCTACCCTGTCTCCATAACAGTTTACTCAAAATATAACATATATACAGCTCACCATAACCTCATCTCATAATACATATTTACTATACCAATAAATTTAACTTAGTATGACATAGTTTTGATATACTATCTTATAACATCATGAGTATTTTTTTTTTTTTTATAATGCAACATTATATTGTAACATTTCATCTATTTTTTTAATGTTCCTAGCAGTAATGGGCTTCCATACAATCATCTACAGTGTATTTCAATCAATGTTCCTGCAGAACGGTTTTACTCCAAGGACTCAGTCAAACTTAGTAAGACATGTTATTTTACCTGAAAGGACCAAGTAAATGGTTATGGGCTCAAGAAAAACATGTAAGTTCATTACTGACCCATGATCTCCCTACTACTGCTCTGGACCTTTGACTCAGTTGAAAGGTAGTTGGTGGACTTTTGATCTTAGATTATTTTGTCACAAAAGAAAAAATCTCATTTGCCATATTGTACAGAGGTTGTGAGAACGTACACTGATACAAATGTGTGTGTTTTCAAAATCCTAAAAACTTTAAATGAGCAAATAATCAGTCAAAAACACAACAGCTTCATCTGTTTATTTTCTTTTTAATCCCTAAACAGAGGTATGTTAAAACACCCTGATACAGAGTGTGGGAATAGAGATGACATTCTAATCCAGAATAAATGACTCCCCAGGAACAATATTTTACAGAGATTTAAAAAAAAAAAAGCAGAGTTGAAATTTGACAATCTATCTGTCATACAAACCATTATTTGAGCTAATGTCTCTATCCATTCATTATATAGTATCATAAAATGTTTCTGTGGTGACTGCACTGCACAGTGAGGTCTTTCCTGTTAGGCACTGTTGGATAAAGGACTCAGATCTGAAATTCTGAAATTAAAATACATGCAAAGATATATTATGCACGATTGTCCTAAAAACAACTTAGACTCATACTACGACTCATATTACGATACACTCAGTGTGTGCAGATTTTTTTTTTTTTTTTTGCCCTCTGCCTGGATTTTCTTATTTTCTTCTTATTTTCTGTGTTCAGGATGTTTATGGGTGTGTAACCCCACTGGGCTCAGGTGAGGTCGGGGCTTTATAAAATAACAGTGACCAGTTTTCAGACCGTAAGCAGTAGGCATCCAAAAGGCACAGCGCCAAATATAGCGAGGTGAAATACCAAAGTAGAGTGAATCTGAAGTTGGCTCTCACTTTACTTTAACCAATCCTGCATCATACACCTGTTAAGTACTAAACATAAAAGTACTCATGATGCAGAATGACTATTTTCAGAATAATGTATATCATTTCACAGGACTATAATTAGTGGTGTACAAATGTGTAAGCATCACTAATATTGCAGCTGGCAAAGGTGGGGCTACTTTCAGTTCCTTTATATACTACAGGGTAGTTTGATCTATAATAATGTCTTATCAATTTCAATTTTTATCAATCAATTTTATTTATAAAGCCCAATATCACAAATCACAATTTGCCTCGCAGGGCTTTACAGCATACGACATCCCTCTGTCCTTTGGACCCTCACAGCGGATAAGGAAAAACTCCCCCAAAAACCCTTTAACAGGGGAAACAAACGGTAGAAACCTCAGGAAGAGCAACTGAGGAGGGATCCCTCTTCCAGGACGGACAGACGTGCAATAGATGTCGTACAGAACATTTATCATTTATTAGTTGATTTAAATGGAGTGCTGCAGAAATAATTCCTAAAACCCAGAAATGATTTAGCATTTTTGCACTTACAGTACCCAGTATCAAAGTCAGTGGGTTTTTCAAGTGCCTGAAATAAGGTCAGTGGTAAGTACACGCTTAAGAGACTTTCAAGTGTTGTTCTATGACAAAATATGTCAGTTAATACCCCATTTGTGAATTTTTAAGCTTCTGTGTGTCTTAAAAAAGGTGGTTGCTAACAAGTGGTTAAATGAGACTACAGAACATTGAACATGGCTTTAAAGTATCGCTGTGGTGGCAACACTGAATGCGATTGCATTTGGGATTCAAAAATCATATAAGTGGTGTTTATTTGGTGAACAATTGTTAACATTTGTTTGTGACAGAGTTTATTTTCTGCAGTGATTCAAAATCCAGTGGTAAAATCCCATTGGCTTTTTGACGATGTAACCAGGGTAATGCTTACTTCCTGGTTTGCCTACAAAAAAAATCTATCCCTGCAGCACTCTACTGTGTATTAATATTCAGAATCTGCCAAACAGTGGAGGCACAAGTATAACGTTTGCCTCTGAATTGTCATAGAGTAGTAGGATAAAGTAGCTTAAATTGAAATAGTTCAAATTCTGTTCTTGAGTAAATGTATTTAGTTACCTTCTCCCTCTGCTGTAAGGACAGACACTCTGAAGATAGTAAAGGCTAAGTGCTCCATTTGGCACAGTCATCAAAATGAGCATCCATGATTCACAGTTCTTCCAATTAAGTACAAAAATAGTTCGTAAAGGACTCTGGTTGTGCTTGGCAGGCTTAAACATCCTGGAAAGTCCATGTGTGACCATAACTCAGTCTTTATAACGCACCTCTGCTCTGAGTTCCTTTTTGATATAGTTAAGCAACGCTGCAGTGACCTGCTGCTGAAGTGTGGCATTGCCCATCACAAGGGCAATGAGCTGGGCCGCGTCTGTCCAGTCCAGGTTGCCCAAGATAGCCATAACGTCATCACAGAGCTTCTTTTGCTGGGTAGGTGGTAACTCCATGAGGATCTGAGGCAGAGGCCTGAACTGACCACTGGTCAGCCAGCTGCCCAACAAACCGCCTACTGCTCCACCTGGTGGAGACACAGAGAGGGGGCGGATAAAGTGGTCAGTTACAGGTTGAGTATAAATCCAATTTAAGTTTGTGCTAGTCTCGTGCTGGGGGGGGGTTACTGTCACTCAATTGGCCCCGTCCCTAAATATGTGTAACTTCACGTCTTAATAAAATGTAAACAGGTGAGTTGTCATGAATGATTACATTATTTACAGAGACCCAAACCATTGTTTCTGTTGTAAAGTCAGACATTTTGAGTCTCTCCTGGAGCCAGCCTCTAGTGGCCATTTAAAGAACTGCAGTTTTTGGCACCTGCACTTCGGCTTCATTTCTTAGCCCTTGAGGTTGTTGCTTGCCAGAAACACGGCTCCAAATAAATGCTAACGCTGAGATACATATGTCAACACTGTGCTCACAGTTTGTTGCTCTGCACCCATGCAGCCAAAAAATAAATAAAAAAATCACATAATGCTGGTTTTAACTTTGCAGAGAAATTTAGGTGGCATTCATCTTTTAAAAGAAGCTATGAATGGTGCTCTCAGTTATATAGCAATCAAAAAATGGTGAGAAATGCCTATCACAAGCTTGCAGAGCCCATGGTGACATCTCCAAACTGATTTTTTGTCTGACCAAGAGTCAAAAACCAAAAGACTTTGAATTAACAATGATATAGATCTGACAAAAGCAGCAAATCCCAGTTGATACATTTTCTCCCAATCAATTACCTAGCAGTGAGTAAGAAGGAAGAGGTGGTGGTATAAATATTGTAACAAAGTGTTAGTCTCATCTGTGAATGACAGCCTACTCAAAGTTTTTTATTTTCCTGTGAGATACGAGACCCTACTGATCAAACAGTCTCACAGCCCCCTGTCAGTATGGGCTACATTCGGACCCTCTAATCAGGCTGCTGTAATGTCTTCATCAGAAACACCGACAGCAGAATCTGTAGTTTTTGTCCCAATATTTATTCTTACCAACAGCAATTCCTGGAGGTCCACCGAGCAGCCCGCCCACAAAGGCAGTTCCTCCGGCCACCATCGCTCCTTTGGTGGAGTTTTTCACTGCCACCTTGATCTGATCATGAGCTGATAATTCACAGCACAGGCGCATGACATCATCCACTCGCGGAGCCATCCTGATATTGAGACACTGGAATGAGAGGAAAGAGGACTGTCAACTCTACTGTGGTGTTTTACATAAAAGACAACGAATATCCATCTTTAAGCCTAATTTTCTGAGCTGAGTATTCAGACAGATTAGATGGATGTAGGATAAAGCATCTACCAAACCAACAAAACTAATGTAGTCTTCAAAATTTAAAAAAAAACTCAAATCACATGTCTCTTATTATCTCATAGTGAGTTTGAAGATTTTGCAGATTTTCTCAGGCAATGATGGAAGCATAAAAAGTGAAATGTTGATTGCAATGAAGATGAAACAGGTTAAGATTAAACTGACATAATGAGTCATGCAATTTAGCCCCTAGACCACATACCAAGGTTTCTTTCAAAACACTTTGCAATCATGATTTCTTAAAACAGATTTTGACTAAAGGTCCTCTCCAAGACAGGGACACAAAATTAGGTGGCAATGCAAAAACCACCTTAGCTGATATTGTTTTTTAGTGGTGGCAGTTCCAACATGAAATTTGCAATTGAAAAAATACCAAAACACACTGACATCCAGTGGCCAGAGAGTTTATAATCCAGCCTTAGTGGTGGTCATTTTTGTAAACTAACAGTCCTGCAAATCTGGGGTCAAAGAAATAAAGACTGCCATCACCAGCCGGTGCATTCACGCTGTATAATATTTATGCAGCAGTCTACATCCTGAAAAAGAAAGCTATCACTCTTTTGAAGAACTTGCCTGCTTTGGAGAAATGTCAGACAAATCCTTATCTCAATAAAGCACACACTTGAGATAATAAAAAGAGAGCAAAAAAAGACAGTCCTGCAGATGCTACAGCTGAAAGTCATCAGATAGTCCAACATATTGTACAAGACACATGTTAAGTCCTATTCTATTGTTTCTCCTGAGCGACTCTTGAGACTGTCAGGATCAGTTTGGTTTCACTTTTACTTGCAAGTTCAACATCACCTTAACAGCATGAAAAAGCACATACATAATACAATATTTTAAATATATGTCCTAGCATTTTACAACTGTCTTTCACCAAAACAAAAAGGGTATTTTTTTTTTTTAAGAAATACTGATTAAACCCTAACCCTGACCCTTGATTAAACAATGTATTGTTTTTACACTGCAGGTACACCGAATGTTCACGTGTCTGTTATCAATTCGTAGAACATCTCAAGTCGCGTTATTAATGCTCGTTAACACCCACTAGTTTTTGTTTATTTTAAATTACCTGATTTTGAGCATGGAGTTTGGCGTGAGAGTTTGGTGTCGGGGTTGCTAGTTGCTAGCTGTGTAACGTTACTGGTCTTAACTAAACAAAACTGTACACCAAGTGGGCATAATAAGCTACTATACGCCTATGTTTATTCTTTTAAAATGCTTTTATAACAATAAGGACCGTAGATTCAACAGCGATGTCAATGCGATTCAAGTTACCAAAGTTTCGTTTCTAGTTTAACACCGAACTAGATAAGACTTCAAGCACTTGAGTGCTTGAGTCACTTGTTTATTCGTCTCTATTTAAGCAGAGTAGACCAGAAACAGAAGACAGCTGTCAGCAGCCTTACCTCAAGAGTTACCTAGCTGTTACATTTACCTTCAGTCCTGTCCTGAATGGGTGAGGCGGCAGTTTCAGCTCTTCGTGTGCAGTCGGCTTTTCTCAGACAGTGTACGCTTTGCACTGTATGATGGGATTGATTGGTAGTAGCTCCACTTCCTGCTTTCCAAAAATGCGTCAAAGAGTCTATAACACACAGTCCAGACAAGATGAGTATTTTCAACAAAGACATAGAAATATGGCAAACGCTATAAATCATATAAATCTATGACACATGATGTTATGTGTCTGTACTGATAAAGCACTTCCTTTTCCAAGCATTTGCTTTTTTTTCTTCTTCTTTTTTTTTTTAACCCTGCTAGAAGCTACACATATTTTTCCCTGAGCCTCCCTGAGTGACTGGTAGAAAATGCATGACCATCAATTTATTATCAAAGTTTTAAAACGTACCCTTTGATGTTTAAATTTAAAGGTTAAAAGTTAAAGATGAAATCCTGAAGTTGAAAAAACATATTGTTGTGCAAGCCAGTTAGTGAGTGCAAATGGTTTATTTTAGACCAAGTTTTAAATGAGACACAGAATAAGGTGATTTTGATGAAATATCACTATTTATCTTAATTTTATTTATTTTTAATAACAGAGGCTTTTATTAGCCTACACATGATGTGTACAAGGACAGTTGGAAATGTGAAAATCCAATGATAATTTCTGGCTAGTTGGATAGTCTCTGGCTGTGATAAAAAAAAATATATATATATTTGACATTCCTCCCCCATTTTGCATCACCCCCTCTCCTCTCACAAGTAACGGGCAGTCCCTTACTTTTTACTGTTTTTGTCTTTGGTAAATACTAAATACACGTTTGTCCTAATCTTGCGCATGCGCACTACACAAACAATGGTGTTGTGTAGGAGGGGAATTATCTCGAACGGAAGTAGGGTCTGCTGTCTGTGATAAAAATATCAAACCTTTAATAAAGTTGTACATTGAGTGAGTCTGTCGTAACCTTTTCCATTCGCTCATTCATGTAACGTTATATGTACAAGCCAAAGTAGAAAATACATTTTTAATTTGTCAGTTCTCGCAGAGGGTGTCGTTGCTGTGCTGTCTGCTGCCTTTCAGACGCTGCTGCCTCAGCTGAGTGTGAGTTGTATGGAGACAGATACAACAAACGTTTCACAACATTGGCAGACTGTCCGTTTTTGAAACTGTTGGGTTTTAAAACGTTATGTTCCAGTTTGTGTTGTAGCTTGACAAGACTCACACAAATGTGAATAAAATACAAAAAAAACAAAAAGGTAATATTTCCGTGATGACATGGAAGAAGTGGGTTTGTGGACATATGACGCAGTGACTGACGCAAACTCGTCCCGCCTCATTGGGCGGGGTTTGATGACGTTTCAGGACACGGGGAGGGCTCTCGCCGATAAACAACTTTGGGATCAAAACAATCTCTGAAGAACAGCAACATAGCGGAAACCTTTCTGTACAACGACCACACCCGAAGACAAACCTAACGTTACTTTGATTTGGTCAGGTAAGTCCAAATGTAAATCTTTATGCCTCACTGAGAAACACCGGCCCGTTATCAGCCTCGGGTTTCATCTGTCTTTTGTTCTCTAAGTACAATCCTCTCGCTGGCTCTGCGATGTCTTAATGTTTGTTACAGCAGGACTCTATTTTCCACTCCAAAACCTCACCCAATGCGAGCAGCTGGGATTATAAAATATGAAGCAGCAGTAGTCTCTGAGCAGGCAGTCAGCTGTTGTGCTCTGTAGGTGGATATCAGGTTATAAAAGGCCTGCCGGGATTAAGGCAGTGTTTACAGGGAGGGTCTGCTGACATTAGACTCTGTGCAGACAACTGACAAGCGGGCAGGAAGGCATTCAGACACTGGGGGGAAACACGGGTCGATTTATGGATCAATGTTTGTCTTAAACGACGACAGCAGACATGTACTAATACTTGTAATAAACGTGTAGTAAGTCATGGTGTATTGTGAAAACATATTTTGGCATATACCTGATATCTCTACAGATGAGTAAACTAAGTCCTGTTTTTGTCTGTTTGAAATAAATATTTGTGATTAGCTGAAATAGAATCACTACTTTGTCTACTTATTGTGACAGTAAGAGTTTTCAGTTTTAGTATTAGACAGTGAAATACTGCATTATAACAGAAAAAAAGTAACATTAGGAGATGAAAATATCTTCCAAGAATGGCATAGAAACCTGTGCCAGGGACCAACTAACAATACAGTGCTGATGTTAATTTCACATCATGTGTTTGGGACAAAGGTCAGTCAGCTGCAGCCTGAGGTCACAGAAATTACATACCTTCTTCATCTGAACCAGCATCACAGATTATATAATATTTCAGCCTCCCTCAGCTGTTTCAGCTCCAAACTGACCCCATGACTCCATGTCATAGTGACGTAACGAGTCAGACTGTTCAGGTTTCTGAGCTGGCGCAATGGAAGCAGTTGTTGCTTCAGAGTAATGCTGTCCATGGAAGACATGCCTTTCAGGTGTTTATTAAGACATCCTCAAGAGGGAGCCATTTGCATTGGTACTTAGCAAAAGACACATGCAGGGAGGGAGTTCAGGTGGAAAAGGTTACTCATATCAAGTCAGTGCTCACTTTAACTTTTAAAATATGGACTGGTTTGATGACACAAAAACTTCCCAAACTACATCACTGTGTCTTTGGTGCATTCATGTACTTTAAATGCTTGCTGTTGATATTTACAGATCGCAATCGAGGAATAGAGATGCTTGGAAAGATTCTTTCTCATCTGCTGGGGAACACTGAGGAGGAGGACTGTGAGGCAGCAGATGAAACTTACAAAGAGCTGATGGAGTTTGAGGAGGGAGGATGGGTCATTGTTAACCTCCCAGGTGAGAGATAGACCCCTTGCTAGAGGTAGACCAAATATGTTATTCACATATTTATAATTTCAAATGGCTCGGTGAGCGTGCAGCTCATACTGGGATGAGATCAGTTTGAACTGGGATGTTCTGTGTACAGAAAACGGGCCCCTGTCAGCCCCTGAGGCTGATCCTCTGGAGAACCTGCTGATTGAGCACCCCAGCATGTCGGTTTACCAGATGAGACGCAGGATGAGCAGCGCTGAGGAGGAGGAGGAGCTAGGCTCTGATGAAGATGAAGAGGACATCTCCAGGTTAGTTTCCATCTACACACACTCCAACTCACATATATTTGTCTCAGAACTTGTGTGAGACAAGTGAAGATGTCTGTTAGTTGCAGCTCGATGTCATCCTACTCTAAAACACACATGAGCTCCAGAGGGGGTTTTATTTTTAAATATTATAAAATTGGACTTAGAATGATTATAGAAGCGAGGAGGTACAAGGCTTCATTAATCTGCAGTGGCAAAACACAGAGGATTAAGTGAAGTGCATAAATGTTGTTGCATACATACAGTGGTAGAAAAAGCATTCTGCTCCTTTATTTAAGCAAAACTAGCAGTATTGCTATGTAAAAATACTCAGTGATAAGTAAAAGCTGTGCATTCAGAATCTTAATTAAAAGTTTGAGTGTTATTAATAAAATATAATAAGTATCTAAAGTAAAAGTACTCATTATGCAGAAATATGTTTTTACTGTTATATTAGTATTTAATAGAGTGCTGAGGAATGGCGTTTTTCTGTTGGCCAACATGGAAGTTAGCATTGCCCTGGTTCTCTCATCAAAAGGCCTATGGGATTTTTGCATTGGATTTTGACTATTGCAGAAAATAAACTCTGTGGCAAACAAATGTTTATGAGACACACATTTTGTATAGGAAGACACACATGAACACCACTTTCATTATTTTTGAAGCCTAAATGCAATCACTAGAAGCAGAAAGCAAATGTTAATCTATAAACGAACTACACCACAGATGCATGACTTAACATCGCCCCCACAATGACGCTGTCAAGCCCTGATAAAGTTCTGTCTCATTTAACCACTTGTTAGCAACTGTCTTTTTTAAGACACATGAAAGCCCCCGCTATCATGAGTGGGGTATTCACTGGCATATTTTATGTCGTACAACAAAATGTAAAGGTCTCTTAAGCTTGTGTTAACCACAGACCTTATTTCAGGCATCTAACCAAAAACCCATTCAAATAAACCATTGACTTCAACACAGCGGAGGCGGTAGTGCTAAAATGCTAACTTATTTCTGGGTTATAAGAGTTATCCATGGAGCATTCTATACAGGTGCATTGATGTGTAAGCAGCATTTCACTTTGCATTGTTAAGCTGAATGTATGAAGAAAACTTCCCGCATGCCTCAGGGTTGAACGAAGAATCCAAAAACAAAAATTCTTGATGAAATGGAGTGAAAGGGGACCAAGTTCAATAACAGCAAAACAAACCCTCACACAACTCGTGCAATATAATCCAGTATTATCCAGTCGTATGCTCAGTACTTTCCAAACACATGCATTTTCACTAAAACATGAAAACACATCAGTACAAACGTTCTCATAAACACCCAAGTCGCTTGCCTGGATATACAAGTGCATTTAAACTCCCCTCATAGGCAGGAGCGTGCTCAGACATGCTCAGGGTGCACTACCTGTAGGCGGATGTGTTTTATATTGTAAAGGTTTTATCTAAAATGCATGTGTTTGGGAAGCACTGATAAATCAGACTAATAATAAGAGGATTATACTGCATGAGTTATGTGAGAGTTTGTAAATAAATGCTTTGATGTAGTTTTGCTGTTGTTTAACATGGACCCCAGTGACTTCAGTTCATAAAGAATGTTTACATTTTTTGGATTCTCCGTACTAAGTGGAGGCATGGTAAGTGTGTCATTGATGTACAAATGGTCATTTTGCAGGTGAAGTATTCCTTTTAGCAAGGTCAAGGTTTTCAAGGTCAAGAATGAACTTGCATTCTTAGCTAAGAAAATATTTGTAGGCCACTTGAGTTGTTTGTGGTTGGCTGACATGTTTTTGCACTTGAGTAGATGGGTGTCACGTGGACACAAAGATCAAGGCTTTTAAAACTATAGTGCGTAACTTCTGTCGTCTCCCAGCGGATAATGCGTTATTACAACTAAGCCGGCGGCACTTCCATGTACACAGAGTAACACTCGCCACACACCGTGTACACAGAGTAACACTTGCCAGTCGCCACACACCGTACACAGAGTAACACTTGCCTTTGTGGTAGGATCCACTTCTGAACCGTGTCTCGGCCGCTTCTCCGCCATGTTGCTTTCTCTTTCTACCTGCGCTCTACCTCTTGCTATGACACCCTCCGCTCTTCCTCCCCCTCCCTTCTTGTTGTGAGGAAGCATTTCCTGTGTGCCAGCACGGGAATGTCGCCGGTCGACACGCATACTAAAAATGATATATTTTGAAAAAATACCGCGAGATGTTAGAGGAGCTGATCGGCTTAATCAGCATTGTGTCATCTCCTCTATTAGTGGCTTGGGTGAAACGTACATTTACGGACCTGTAGAAGTTACACACTATAGCTTTAAATCCTGATACTAACTGTAATCTCAAAATTTATTCCAGAACTAAACTCTTGGAAAATGAGGACCATCCAAAACCTTTTACAAGTGTCCTCACATTTGGGGTTTAAATCTTGAATTGGTTTTCACTAAGATGGCAGCAGAACATTCACGCAGTTTGTCTAGGGGAATACTTTTTCTCTTATATTGTATCTCACCTATATCATCAACACATACTTTGACACTTCTCCTGTCCAGGCCAGTGGCAGTGAGGCGGCATATTTCCTGGCGTCTGGCCGCCTGGGGAATCCCTCTGCCCTGCAACATCCAGCTGCTGACTGTCCAGAGGGCCAGGACTCAGGCTGAGCGGAAGAAGCTTAGCCGCAGCGCCCTCCACAGGCAGAACCTGGCTAAGATGCGATTCTCCCCGGCAGAAAAACGCTACGGCCACTTCAAGCAGCCCTGCCAGCGCCTCTACAACTACTGATCAGGAGCCATGGAGCTGCTTGTGAGAGGGTGTGTTTCAAGTTGCCTCCACCATAGCCCGGTTGTGCAGCACAGTGCCTTGACTCTGAATTACTCAGGTTTTCCGCCACTGTTTCACCTCAACACAGTTGCTACTGCATATCCACCAAGGCAAAGCATGCGAGATTCACCACTTCCTGTGCAGTAAAATGATCCGTCAAATGAACCACAGCAAGTTTTTATTTTGATTTTAATACAGGCAACCTGCACTGCACCCCTCACGTCTGAAACCACTGACAACAATGAATCTTGATCTCCTGACATCGTGAATGACATAGCTGGTCCCTCAGTTTGGGACCTCAGGTAGTAACACACAGTTACTGTCACATAAAAGCCTTTGTATATTATCAAATGAGAACAGTTGAGTGATTTAGATTGATTAGATGTAGTAAGTAGGGTTAGGACTTACAAGAAGTTGGAGGTGTGTGAAAGTTATTTTAAAGGTGTTGTTACTGTGTTACATTGATCCAAATATGAAAACGTCAGATCTTAAGAATATTTTGCTCTGTTTTCATTCATTATGATGCAGTTGAATTATGGCACATGTTGAGCGGTTATTCTTTGGTTGTATTCATTATGTGCCTTGGCTTTAAATGTTCTTGTGACAAATGTATTAATATTTCATACCGCAGTGATCTGTACAGTATCCATGTCCTGCAAATACATCTGTGAATTTTCTGCTTAAGAAATAATTACAAAAACCACTGTTCATGTTTTGTATTGAGTTTACCATTTTGTACTTTCCAGCGAGTACTCACTTTTTTCATGTAACACAAATTGTTCATTTTAAACAAGTGTAAATACAGTTGAATATTGTGTTTTTCTATATGTGTGTATTTATAAAATGTACAAAAAAAATTAAAATCTTGTTTTCTTAAGGTGGTGGCTGTGTGTGTTTAATGTGGCACTACAGACAGTAATTAGACATTGGAGTTAAACATGTTGAAGGCACTGAGAGACAGAAAACCTTCACTGTCATTTTCGAAGGTCACCTATCTTTCCCATGAACCGTTTCACTCGCTCTGGGTCGACTGCATTGGCCCAGTGGCCTCCCTCCTTGAAATGAGAACCGATGATCATTCCATTTGCATCCACGTAGCATTCAATGTTGTCATAGGTCACTCCAGAACCTATAAGCACCGGGATACTCACAGACTGGGAAACCTCTGCAAAAGCGAATAAACAGTTTAACAGTGGCAACTACAGCCTACCAAGAGTGTATTTTAACAATGCTACAATGTTTATGATGACACAAATCCAGGAGATGATTAAAAACTGATGTAATCTGTAACTTGCAGTTACAGATTACATCTGTATCCGTAAAACATGGATGCTTCACCCCCCCCAGCAGCACAGATCTATACAATCAGCACAGTTTCAAGGTGGACACCTAAGATTAATGACAACAATTACGTATCTGACCAAATGTCTTCCCTTTTGGTCCCCAGTTAGGATGTTGAGTAATGGCCAGAAAAGTGTTTTGGGACATCATTATGATGTCACAGTGAAGTTGACCTTTGACTTTTTACATATAAAATGTCAGCACTTTGTTATTTTATCCTCATAGACATTTGAGTGAAATTTTGTCATAAATAGCATATGAATTCCTGAATTATGACCAAAAACATGTTTTGTGAGGTCACAGTGACCTTGACCTTTGACCATGGAATTCTTATCGGTTCTTCTTTAGTCTAAGTAGATGTTTGTGCCAAATTTGAACAATTTCCCTCAAAGTGTTCTTGAGATATCACATTCACAGCTATGCGACTGACAAGGTCATGGTGACCTTGATTTTTGACATTTGACCACCAAAATCTGATCACTTTGTCCTGAGTCTGAGGGAATGTCTGGGCCTAGTTTGAAAAAATTCCCTCACAGCATTCTTTTTTTTTTTTTTTTTTTGTTTAATATATTTTTTGGGCATTTCTTGCCTTTAATGGACAGGACAGTTAAGTGTGAAAGGGGGAGAGAGAGGGGATGACATGCAGCAAAGGGCCATAGGCTGGAATCAAACCTGGGCCGCTGCAGCAACAGCCTTGTACATGGGGCGCCTGCTCTACGACTAAGCCACCGACACCCCACCTCACAGCATTCTTAAGATATCACATTCACAAGGAAGAGACGAGGAGGCCACAACAAACTTGACCTTTATTCTGTGACCCCCAAAATCTAATCAGTTCATCAATGAGTCCAAGTGGACATTGTGCCAAATTTGAAGAAATTCCTTCAAATGTGTTCTTAAGACATCGTGTTTATTAGAATGGAACAAACGGATGGATGGACAACCCAAAAACATAATGCCTCTGGCCACAGCTGTTGCCAGCACGTGGCATAAAAATAAACAATATCTTATAACTAATGTACATTGCTGCAACATGAAGTCTTTAAAGGCATATAAAAAGTTAACTTCCTACCCACCTCTCACCAGCACATGTACATGGGTGCATCTCAAAGGAACACATCTTCTTTCTTTCTTTGTTGAATCTGAACTAATCATTTAAAGTCACTAAATTCACACATTAACAACAACAAACTAACTGACTGAGGCAGCGGTAGATCAGCAGCTCCTGTGTTCAATGAGGTAAAATGGAGTCTGGCTCTGAAGTGAGCATAGATAACTTTCACTTTCTGTTCAGTTCCCCGGCTATCTGTTCAGGGAGTACTAGGCATAGGTCTGGATAAATGAGACTTGGATTATACTGCCAGAGTTATGTGAGAGTTTGTAAATAGATGTTTTGATAAAGTTTTGCTGTTATTAAACATGTACCCCCATGACTTCAATTCATCAAGACTTTTCTCCTTTTTTTGGATTCTTCTTTCACCGCAGAAGCATGCATGAAACACAAAGTTTCCTTCCCAAATTCAATGCAACACGGGAAGTAATTGATATACAAAGGGTCATTTGGGGGTGAACTATTTCTTCAATCTATTCTAACAAAATCACCATGATACAGAGTTCAAATCAAATGTGCTTAACTGTATCTGAGATTTCTGGTCACGTCAATGCAGAATGCTCCTTATAAAATCTAGGCCTGTCCATGAACGCTTAAGTTAATGAATGTCACCCACGGTGTCTGCTATAACAAGAAGAGACTAAATCGAGAGAGGCTGTGATACACCCAGTGAACTTTGGACAGAGTAGAAGCTAACCTCCACCCTGGCATGTGAGCTTCAGTATCATTCTGTCTGACCAGTGTCTGCATGTTTGTGTCAGCCAGATAGAGACCGCACGTGTGTGTGAGGGAAAGAGATAGGGGAAAGTGTGTGTATTCTGTGTGTCAGCACACTCGCGTGTATGAAACCGAGGCTGTGTGCCTGTTTAGATCTGAGTGTTTACAGTCTTGAATGTCCCGTTGGAAACTCTGCTTAAAATAGCAGCCCAGGTGTTGCCATGAGACGGCATGATCCTGATTTCAGACCCACTGACTCTCAGCAGATACAAACCTGCTGGGTGCCTTTCATCACCCCATTGGCCACTGGTGGAACAAGTATTCAAATTCTGGTAGGCCACCAACATCTAAAAATACTTCATTACAAGTACAACTACTGCAATTCAATACTTCACTACAGTAAAAGTACTGTAAAAGTAGTACCAGCTCAATGCAGTCAAGTATTAACATTATTGCTGGATCATTATCACCAATACATATAAGCAGTATTTTAATGTTGTAACTGGCTGAGGTGGAGCTAATTTTAAATACTGTATATACTGCATTGTATCTTTTAAGCTGATCAGACAGGCAGGTAAGACTAGATTTGTTCTAAGTAACAAGTAATAAAAACTGTCAAATAAGTGGAGAAAAAAAGTACTCAGATATGTGTTAGTAGTATTACGACAAGTGCTGCATTGAAAACCTGCCTTACATAGAGGAACGCAAGCATTAACAGCAAAGTGTGTTTTATGTAAAACAGAGCTGGGCAATATATTGATATTATAACGATATTGTGATATGAGACTAGATATTGTCTTCGCACTCATTCATGAGAATTGGGACAAAACCTTATTTCTGATGGTTTATGAAGTTTTACTCTTCAATTATGCTAGGAAAATGTTTTTTAAAAGATCAAAGTCTTGATTATGAAACCTTGTAATCTGTGTTGGAAATTAGCACCCGCCAAATGCGGGTGAATTTGGCCGGTGGAGGATGGATTTTATGAACCTACTCACCATGGTGTTGGGTAAAAAATTTACCAAACGATTGAATCCATTCATGAAAAATATCGACTCAATCACAGGTCGCTCTACCTAGGTAATGTAGTGTAGTGTGTCCTCACTGCACCAGTGAAGTTTTTCTTCTTAGTCTTCTTGTTTGTATTTACTGGCAGATTGCAAACCAACCAACTGCCATATAAGACGACGAAAAGGAAGAGTCATAAAGTTGAGTGGCGTTAGCAGTTAACATTAGCATGGGTGTCGTTTGTCTAATCTGACAGGGTGTTTTAAGGACAGTTTGGCCATGTGACTGGTGTAAAGAGAGTGGCCAACTCGTAAAAAGGCGAGTTTTAATAATAATAATGATAATGATAATAATAATCAGAATCAATACAAATATCTTTTTTGCTTGGGTGTCTGCATTTTGTTTTTGTACATTTGAAGTGTGTGTGTGTGTGTGTGTGTGTGTGTGTGTCTGTCTGTCTGTCTGTGTCTGTCTGTGTCTGTGTGTCTGTGTGAAGGACAGAATCAAAAATTGATAAGCATTAAATAAAATATCAAACTTATACTTTTAATGAGAACAATGTGTATTGGTTGTTTTTTTTTTTTTTGTTTCTTTGTACACACAAACACCAAAGCTAGTTACACACACAAGTGTGACAGCAGAATGGTGGCTGGTCAAAAGTATGAGTGGCTGGTAGAATTCAAAATCCACCAGCCACTTTGATGGATGGATGTTGGAGGTAAGATCTGACATAATTGACAAAAACTTCTAGATTTATTAATTTTCCTGCAGTTGTAGTAAGGAGCCATTTTATTTTTCACAGCTGCTGAGAGATCTCTTAATTCTAATCAAAGTACTTATTTTTAAACCATAATTCTTACTTAGCTTTGATTTAAAAGGGCTATGGAGTTGACCTGTTATAACTGAGACACACTTGATAGCAATATTATTAAATTAATTCATTGAAAAATAGAAAGCTTACAAGTACTATAGCAGCATTCCTGCTTTTTTTGGAAACCAGGAAGTGAGACAGGAGTCCTTGGGATATAGCTAGCTTCTTTTATGCCTGATTAAATGATGTTTTTTGTAGAAATCTAACATAACTGACTGAAATCTGGTGGACATCTTTAAACGGCCAACATTTTCATAAAAAATATATATTTTAAAACAAAGATGATTATAGCATTACATTTTTACAGCAATGTTATCAGTACGTAGTGGTAATTTTAGGTTTTAAAGGCTTTTAATACATTTTTTAATTGTTCAAAGTTGTGAATTCTTGTCTGGGATAGGCTGTTTTCTGGCACAGGTCAAGTAAAAAAAAAAAAAAAAAAAAAGGATAAAATAATAAAAACACTGCATAAAAATGAAAATATAAAACTTATTTCATACATATAAATCCTTAAAAAAATACTGTTTCGCTCCAGAAACAAAACTCGTGTGTTGATAAGTTATAATTCAAAGGTTTTCTTTCTTTTTTTTGTAAGAAATTAATTCTCGAGAATGGGCGTCAGATTTTGGATATCGTAATAGTGTGTCTTTTCCTGGTTTTAAAGACTGCATTACAGTAAAGTAATGTCATTTTCTAAACTTACCAAACTGTTCTTGTTGCTCTGTTATTTCCCTTTACCCACTTAGTCATTATATCCACATTACTGTAATAATTTGTCAAAAATCTCATTGTGTAAATATTTTGTGAAAGCACCAAAAGTCAACCTTACAATATCATCACAATATCAGTATTGAGGTAACTGGTCAAAAATATTGTTGTATTTGATTTTCTCCATATCGTCCGGTCCTAATGTAAATCTTAATTAAGTCACTGCTAACTATAGCTGATTTTGTTTTGTTTTTTGGCCAAGATTTCAATATACTGACATTTCATGTAAAGTTGATCAAAATAACTTGCTAGCGTTTGCTTATTTAACATCCAGTAGTTATGACGTAACATTAGCATTCATTTGGAGTCATGGATTTTGGTCTGTCTGGTGAATGTAAGTCCAATATTCATTCTCCTTTAGCTCTGTTTTTTGTCTCCAACAATCTGTGGGGAAAAATATCTGTCTCTTTAACAGCTAAAATGCTCCACTATGCTCGCTAGCTAACTAAGTGTGTCTGCTGTTTGGTGTTGAGCAGGTCATGTACAATTGCTTTATCAGTGTTTTTTTTTTAGGACAGCTGCCTGCAGAATGGACACAAATGTAACACCAGCTTTGAAATGGGCCACAATCCAGGCCACATATGAAAAAATGGTGAATGAGTACCTGAATAGCGCATCACTACCGTTGAGTCACTGCCCCATCTGCTGGACATAACGTTACATTACATTACACAGCACACAAGGCTGTGGTACTTCTAAAATCTGGGGACTTGCTTTTTCCCTCTATATTCTGTTATTGTTAATTGAATACTTTTAGGTTTTAAACATTATATAAACCAAAAGATTCATTAAAAATGTTGAATCAACCAAATCAACGTTGAACATAGCTTGTACTGCAGCCCTATGTTGCTATCTAAAATGATGCCAAAGTGTCAAACAGTGTCTGATCGAAGAATTAATTGCAGCACCATATGGCTCCTGGTTGTATGATGTTAGTACCTCTGAGCTCCCGCGGGTCAGCCTGCACTCCAGTGGCTGTTCCTGTGATGATGAGTCCATCTGAGAGGAAGAACTCGGCCGCTCGTGACATCTCTTCAATGCTCACATCTGATGTCAGGGCATGGGAGCTGGTAAAAACACACATACAGTACACATACACAAGCACACACAGTTTTACTCAGCCTGTGATAGATTTAAAACACATTTTAAAATTAACTTTAAACTGGGACCAGGAACGAAAGCAGGGTGTCAATTTTCTAAACCCTGATATTCCATCAAAACTTCCAAACCCCCTTATGAATTGGATTTCAAAATATAAGTAGTTATAAGTGGTTCTTTGTGAGTACTGTGGGAATGCTGGTCTGGGCCTTTGTCTATTATACCTATAAAAGCTCTGAAGAGATGACTTTTTCAATAAAAGTGAAGAATCAGAATTGTATCATGCATCTCTCTCTTACTCACTGTGAAATGTAGGAGTAACTGAGCAGCTCTCAAGTAGGGTTGCAATGCTACAAGATTTTCACGGTCTAATAACCGTCTCAGAAAATGTTGCGATTTCACGGTATCATGATATGAAAGAATTTATCTTATCTGTCAGAATGACCTTTAAAGGAATGAAAACAAATACAAATTAAACTTTAGGTAGCCTACTAGAGTAATATTATCAATTGCTTTATTAGTCCACTAGATACATTTTGCTGCAAAAAAAAATTGGCTTAAGTCAGATAAACAGACAGTTAAAACAGATGTTGGCAAAGTTTTCCTTCAGGGACATAATTTACAGTTGATAAAAGTTAATAAATCACAATATATTGTATTGCAATATTTAGCATATCAAAACATATTTAAAATTAGAATAGTGTTGTATTATGACTTAAGTATCATGATAATATCATATCATGGATCCTCTGGTGATTCCCACCCCTAATAGAAAGTGACTTAAATAATGGCTGCAGCTTTATTCTTATATTTTACACCCATGAGAACTGCAAAAGGAAGCTAATTCTAACTCCAACTCTGAATAACAAATATTGCTTAAGATGATATTGTACAGGTGTTCCAGATGTTTTTTCAACATTTTCACTTTAATTGGATAGTAGACAGAGTAGAGGGATTTGAGGGGAAAGAGAAAGAGAGTGGTATATGACATGCATCAAAGCGGAATCAAATCAAACTGGGGACATTATGGTTACAGGGTATGCACTTTAACCATTGGGCTATCACCCCTGGAAATCTCTTAATTTTAAGTGAAATCTATGGTCAAATGAAATTTGATACATAGGTTTTATTCTCAAGTTTGCAAATGAGAGTACCATCGAATGATGTTTACTTAAGTCTAAAATTTCACTTTCCGCAGTTTGATAAATCTGGGCCTGGTCAGGCTCTGTCATATCTCAGAGAGCTCATAGTGCCCTATTATCCCACCAGAACACTGAACTCTGAGGATGCATGGTTACTCATGGTTCCTAAAGTAGAACGGGAGCTTCAGCTATCAGGCTCCTCTTCTGTGGAACCATTTCCACTTTCGGTCTGGGAGACAGACAACGTCTCCACATTTAAGAGTAGACTTAAGACTTTCCTCTTTGATAAAGCTTATAGTTAGGGCTGGCTCAGGACAAGCCCCTACTTGGGCTGATTTAGGCCTTGTCTGCGGCAGGACCTATGATAAAGTGCACCCCTTCTTTCCTTCTCTCTCTCTCTTCATTTACTATCATTCATGTCCTATTCTGCATATCAATGTGGGTCTTCTCCCCCACAGCCTTTGTGCTCCCTTGTCTCACAGGTTCCCTCGGATCGAGGTCGTGCCTGGATTGTGTATAATGAATTGCTGGTTGTGGTCACATTGCTGCTGTGGTCCTGCCTGATGTCTACTACTGCTGCTAGTATTATTATTAGTCATACTTCTACTATTATCATCATATACATATGATTATTACTGTCACATACACATACTATCATATACTGATATATACATGTAATATAGATAATATCATATACTACTGTTAGTATTATTATTAATAATATTTCTCTTACTTTTGTTATAACTGTTGTTGTTGCTGTGCATCTCTCTCTTTCTCTGTCTGTATCATTTTGTCATGAGGATCACTGTACATTTATTATGTTGATCTGTTCTGTACACATAACATCTATTGCAGGTCTGTCGGTCCTGGAAGAGGGATCCCTCCTCAGTTGCTCTTCCTGAGGTTTCTACCTTTTTTTTAAAATGTTTTTTTGGGGAGTTTTTCCTTATCCGTCGTGACAGTCCACAGACAGAGGGATGTTGTATGTTGTAAAGCCCTCTGAGGCAAATTATGATTTGTGATATTGGGCTTTGTAAATGAAATTTAAATTGAACTGAAACTGATGGGATTTTTTAAACTACAAATTTAAATTTGATGAAACCCTGTCAGACCCAATTAGCAGCCAAGGTCAAGGTAATTGATTTTGAGGCCACTGACAAACTGAAGGAGCTTAAATCTCCCTAACTAATATTCTTCTGTCTAGTCACCACAAAACAATTTCTATAAGCCTTTATTGACTGACAGTAAGGGGCTGGGTCAGTAGTTAGTTCTGCCGTTGCTAATTCTGCCAGTAGTACCACCACCCGCTTCACAGAGCTTTCACACAGCAGAGGAGCATGTTAAGTGGCAGACTCCTGTCACTGGCGTGCTCCATAAACAGACTAAGGAGGTCCTTGCACTTGCACCTGTGTGAGAATGTGCTGTGTTGCTGTTGAATAAGCTACTGAATGCTTTAATTTCCTTCAGGATGAATAAAGTCTCTATCTATCTATCTATCTATCTAGTATCAGAGAAAAAGTAGTTCTAAGCGAATAACTACAGTTGCATTCAGAGATATAAAAAGTCAAATATGCCCTTAGGTCTTTTTTGCTATCAGTGGCTCATCAGGTTCTCCCTACTAATCACACTGTACAGTTGGTGACTGATCTCACCTGTGCTTCTTTTTGATGTCGGTGAAGATCTGCACATGCTCAGCTCCAATCTGCTTGCGATATCTCAGTAAGTCCCCAGCGCAGGCATTCAGGAGACCCTCATCAGCCACGTGAGAAAAGACAAACCCCTCAGCCCTGATGAAATCCAGACCTGTGACCATACAGTAACATTATAACTCTATGGTTGACTAACTGTTAGCCACTGTGTCAAATACAAGTAGGTTTAGGCTAAGTTTGACACACAAATAGCTGATCTGTGTCATAAAGTAAGCACCAAACACACCGCAGCTATTTCTCTGACATACACACCTTCAATTATAAAGGGTGACCTGACAGTGATGTCAGCTGATGTAGGAAAATCCGTTTACACTTTGTCCATGATAACACATAATTGGGAACCTCTGTTCTGTTCTAACAGCTTTTGCTGCAGATGATAAGAGCCTCATACACAGCATAACAACAACTTATTTAAGACTGAACCTGAAGCCAGAGCTACAGCCAGTGCCTGCTGGTTTGCAGAAGACAGTATTTGCACTCCGAGCGGCAGGCGTGGACAGATGCTTCTCACAGCGGTGCATACTGCAGTCATACAGGCAGACACCTCAGGGCCCACGGAGAATGAGTAAGGAATATCATGCATGTTCTCAATGATCAAACCATCCTGAAAGAGTAGTTTAGGGGCACTGGTTACTGGCTTGCCCTGGAAGACTTCAAATGTGTCAGGAATTCACCCAATGTGCAATAACTTACAATCCCTGCATCTTGGTAGATTGCTGCCTCCCTGCATGCTTCCTCGGTGATTTGGGACATTTTCATACAACCCAGGGGGGTGCCTGAGACAAACAGGAAAACTTACGTACAAACAGAATGAATTATCAAAACTTATAGCTCCCAGATGTGCAGTGGTGTAATGCAACTAAGTGCATTTAGTCAAATAATAAGTAATTCCTTGGTTTCTGGTTAGTTACTTTAAAAATACAGATTTTCTACACAAACATACAGTATTTTTACAGTGTCATAATGCTTCTTTTACTGAATACTTCCATTTGCACATCGAGGGGCACAGGTCAGTACAGTCTTTACCTGGTAAGGCTTTAACATGGATCATTCCAATAACCACTGATTTTAGACGACCAAAAAGATCCAAAAACTTCATGTTCCCGTTTTTGTTGCGCAACCTGGAAGCTGGAAAAAAAAAAGTTGTTTTTTTGTCTCTCGGGGCACGGGGATCACGTGACTGGAGCAAAGGTCGGTTTAATCAGACAAAAGTTGAATTAATAACCCGTCTTCAAAATCTACAACAACAAACCGGTAGTGCAGAAAACAATTGTTGACCTTATTCCACCTTGATTTAAAACACATTTAGCAGTGCAGCATGTTTGTTCATGGAAACAGTTTGGTGGTTGCAAAGAGACAAACCGTGCTGAAATGGGCGCCCCGGTAGTCGTCAGAAGCATCCGCAGGCTAACATAGATGATTTCTTTGCTAAATAACAGACGCGCCCAGGGTGACAGCGCGAGACAACAACTTGTGGAGTTCACGGAACAAAAAGGCCCGCTTACCTCACAATACTTTGGTCGCGTTAAGTTTTATTTTAGGTTTAATCCAAAGATCTTCGGCTTTGTTTACATCTGACAGACTAGCCACGCGGTGCCCGAGCACTTCCTCATCGGATGCTCCGCCTCTGCAGCTGTCACCACAGCAGGCACACCTCCAGTTTTGCCGGCTAACTTTTAAACGTATTTTTCATTTTCTTTAGCACAATATAAATCAATCGTATCAAAAATAGGATCTCTGTTAACAATATAAATGAGAAACTGTGGTGATTTGTGATTAAATTAGACTAAAAGGAGGCGGTGAAGGAGGGGGTTTAGCGCCAAGTTAAATCCACTCCTCTCTGACGTTGATGCTTCAAGTCATCTGTTCCCTACAAGGCGCCAGCTCAGAGGAACTAGCCTGGCCTGGATACACACATACACACAGAGCATGCTCTGAAAACAGGCGGTGAAATCACAAGTTATTCATATTTATCTTCTAGCTGCGAATAAGAGTGAACTTCAAGGGCTGAATCTTGAGGTGAGTGGACCAAACAAAACGTTACCGTTGCATGGAGTTAGTTAAGCTAGTTTCGGATGCAACTTTCGTAGCTAAGCTGACTGAATGCTAACTAACCCGCGACAAGTTGGATAATGAATTGAAGCTTTGTATGGATGCTCATACTTAGATGTCGTCTGTTGTAGTTGTGTGTTAGGTGTTGTTGCTGTTACTGATAAATGGTGAATTGAGAAAATAGGCGTCTCAGCTGTGCCTGTAGTTCGGCCATTATGTGGCTAGAAAGATATCCGAAGTTAGGGAGGGAAAATAACCAGCTTCCCCTCAAAAATACGCCAAACAACAACCCAAGTCAGCTAATATGGTGTCCGATGTTAGTCAACGGTTAGTTTCATGGATATACGAGCATTATGTGATACTCTTTGGCGACTTTTAACATTGCGTACCGTGTCCATTTCGCCGCGCCTGGCTGAGCTGGGCTTTGTCAGAAGGAGGGAGTTGAGAGTGGGGGTTGGGAGTGTGTGAATGTGTTCTGTTTAAACCCCTAAAAAACAACTTAAAACACTTCTTATTCACAGGTTTACTCCAAAGCTGACACACACCCCTCTGAGTATAATGCGAGGAAAACGGTGAGTCTCATGTTTATTTCATTCCTGGCTCTTTTAAGCGCGTCAATCAAAGTGTGTGACGACAGAAAGAAAAGTTGAGTTGATGGAGCTTTAGCCATCCGGCTAGTTAGCTTGTTGCTATACGACCTTATTTTGGTCACATTAACTTGTAACGCCAAGCTTGTTTAACTGTTTTGTGCTGACTTTGGTGACTTACAGTTGGTACCTTTCTGTTTCTGTGTTGTTTTAGGGAAGAGACAGAACCGAAGTCTGTTGCTCCCGAGGCGCCCGAAGAAACTACAGTACGACCGAGAAAGAGGAAGGCAGATGTTGCCATTGTAAGTAGTCTGAAAGGCTTGCAGACCAGCCTGAAACTTCACCTGTGGCTGGGTTATAGGGCCTAACTGAATAACCAAAATATAAAACTGGTGTCACGTTTAACAGTGTTCACAAGTAACAATGTCCTGTGCTTCATTGAAGTATTACTGATTGATGCAGCTGATAGTGTACTGTATGTGACTATGATTTTATTGGTGCTTACAGAGCAGAACACCATCAGAACAGGATTCAGTTGCCACCTTTTCATGTGCTGTGGGAATTGATTTGATCTAACCAGCTCTGTGCAGTTTTTGAACTGAATCACACACAACATAATTTATTTTCCCATCCTCAGTTTTTACAAGACCTGGATGAGGAGGTAGCAGAGATGACAAAGAAGAAGCAGCGGGAATGTGAGGTAGGCTTGGTTATCTCTCCTCATTCAATGTTAAAACATGTGCCATACCCCAATTTGACTACACATCAATCCATATAGGCTATTGATAATTCTGCTATGACTAGCACTTCACTGGATCTCTGGCTAGGAGGTCTGTCTATAGTCCCTTCAGGCTTTAATGTTTGCAGGCCACTTACTGGGGGAGTCAGCCCGACCACAACATGTGTCCATATTATTAACTTACCATCAGATTTGTCATCTCTCTGTTTCCTCTTTCTGTGAAGGTGGGCTGGAGTCCTGATGCTGGTTACACAAGTCCACAGAGGTGGATCCCCACACCTGATCAGGAAGTGGACCCACCAGTTGCCCTGATAAACGCAGGTTTCCCCCACTACAACTTTAACAACGTATTTGTAACCCCCGTGCGCTGTGCCCCGCTCCCTGCACTGTGGTGAGTACTGGTGTTAAACTTTTATTTAAATAGAAATTCACATTGAGATTAAAACCTCTTTTGCAAGTGAGATCTAACCAAGACAGGGTCAAATAGTAGCAACAAACACAAACAGGATAACCACATCAAATACAATACTTGAATTTCCCCTCTGGGGATCAATTAAGTATGTCTTAAAAATGGCGTCAATAGATACGCCAAACACATGACATGAAATGGTGCATTAACAATGCAGCAATATTTAGTCCAGAATTTGTTAGTTCATTTAAGCTGCTGCAACTATCAGTGACCACCTCCTGTATTCTAAGTTTAAAATCAGTGAAAGAGATAAGGGCCTAGAGTTTGAGCTTGGTTTGTCTCAGCCGAGGCTCCGTTATGCAGCCACCCATTTTATCCCTTGTATCTAAGTTTAATTAGTAGCCCATCTGTGTGTGACAAGGCCTGGGCCTGTTGTATAGGTTTAGCTTGTGTGCTCTCTGTCATAGTTTTGCTTTTTCTTTTAGTTATAGCTAATAGACATTCTGCTTCACCTTAAATCACTACCCCTGTAACCAGGGCCAAAATACAGCCCTGCAGGAATTGGATTGTAAAGAGCTGACTGCATACATAAGTGTTGCTGTTGTGAACAGTGAAGAGTTCAGTCAATCCTTTTTTTTAACTATTGTGTCCCATTTGTTTTGTTATCAGCTGGGCCAGTAAGGATGTGGTATGGAACAACATGTTGGAGAAGGACAAGACCTACACCAGAGATGTCCATGTGATGGATAAACATCCTCATCTGCAGCCCAAGATGAGGGCAATTCTACTGGACTGGCTCATGGAGGTCTGTAGTAGTCTTAACCTGGGCATATGCTGTACAATTTTAAAGATGTTGTTTAATTCCAGCTCCTACCGTATGAGTAAAGTGGCTGCAATGAGAAGCCAAAGCTCACGAAAAATAGTAGTAATAGTAACATAGCAAATAAATGGCCTATTTGCCCTCGTGGATGACTCTCGCTATTAACCATTGTCAAGATTTGTTTGAAAAGCTCTGAGGCAAGTAGAAGTTTGTTTGCTAGCAGAGGTTTGTAACGTTACACCAGTACGATTCACAGTAATGCATTATTGACAATGTTTCACTCGGTCATACCGCTTGTGATAGGAGGAGAGGGAAACGTCAAAGAGGCATATATGCTCTAAAGCTGGCCTCTGTATTTTACATCTGCATGACACATCTTGTCACCATGACACATCTTGTCACCATGACACTTTCAGACGCTCTGTTTGCCACTTAACGTAGGCACAGTGAGAAAGGACACTGATCTTTGGGAATCGACTCGTGGCTCTGCTTAAGAGTCTGACAACGGCTGACCGAAATTCATCTGAATGTCTGGCAGCCAGTTGGGAGCAGTTAATTGCTCCTCCTCTCCCAATGTACATTACACGGCAAATGATGCCTGACTAAGCTGAAAACCGGTCCTACTTCAAAATGAGCTATGCAGCTCAAAATTTGGGTCAGAAACGGGCTTAAATGGTACCGTTTGTGCCCAGCTTCAGAGACCACTTGAACGCCTCTCTCCTTGTCAACATGACATTTAACAAAATGTATAATGCCTTTCATTTTGATCATTTCAGTTTTATTTGCGGGGATAAAAGTAAAGGCTGCATTTATAGTCCTCTACTGACTTGCGCATCATAACTAAATTGTCTCTCATGGATTTTGTTAATGGCAGCTGTAGACAGCCTTACAGAACATCATCTTAGATTTCATGACTTTTGAAATAACTCTTATTTTAATGTACTGATGCAATTTGGAGCTACGGCGCAACACATTGGCAACAGCCTCTCTTAATCTCCTAATTGGAAACTGGTTATTGAGAAAAGACATATGTTTTGTGAGTAATTATCAGTAAACATCCATTGGCACAAACGGTTAAAAAATCTTCAACAGTGTCTTGTGTGGCAGTGAAAAAAACACTCTTGAGTTCTGACCATCACTGTAATGAAGGTAAATAATGAGCTGCAGTGACTTATGAGGTCTCCTGTGTCTGAAAGAGATCAACCAATCTGATTGGCCTAATCACATTCAATAAAGACCCTATCTGCTTTAGCCTTTGATTTTGGTTCCTCTTAATATCAAAGCATAAATTGCTAAAATAAGGGCGATAAGGGCTGCATGGAAGTAATGTGGGACCTCATTAGACAGATCTGAGGTCTGTTTCAAAAGATAACAGGCTCTGTGATGCACTCTGTGAGTACTGGTGCAGCAGAGAGACAGAGACAAGGGGACAAGTTACTGATGCAACAAAGTGTTAAGTGTTACATGTGTGCTCTTACATCATAATAGTTCAGTTTGTTTTGTATCCAGCTCTCCTTGAAAATCACGTGCAAACACATCCTTATTTGTCACTTGCAATGAGTTCTGTGACGTTTTATTGTTAAAAATCCTTCAATTGTACTTTTTTTTTTTTAAATAAAGGAATATAAAATAGGATAGACATTAATCAGCAAAGACACAAATGTCTCTTTTTCAATTAATAGTAACAGTGCTTTGCCATGTTGTGTTTGTGTGCATGTTTTAGGTAAGTGAGGTGTACAAACTGCACAGAGAGTCATACCACCTCGCTCAGGACTACTTTGATCGTTTCATGGCCACACAGAGAAACGTCTTCAAATCAACACTGCAGCTCATAGGCATTACCTGTCTCTTCATTGCTGCCAAAGTAGAGGTAAGAAGGGTTGGACTGTTTAGAAGAAAAGTGGGTTGATCAAAAATACCTGGTAGCCTGTAGATCTTTCTTATGGGCTTGCCTTAGGTACAATATATAAGCTACATTACCACCTTTCTTCTACAGCATTTTACAATGTTTGTTAGTATGATTGGTCGAACAATTCTTGTCTCCTGTGTTTTTGCATCCCCCAGGAGATGTATCCTCCCAAGGTCCACCAGTTTGCCTATGTTACAGATGAAGCCTGCACTGAAGATGAAATTCTCAGTATGGAAATCATTATTATGAAGGTAAAGAACACTCACATTACTCATTGATCCATGACACATTAGTATGAACCTCACAATTTACTGTTTCTTATCTGTGAAATAAAATTAAACTAAAGCTTTTTTTCCACTGAAAGAAATGGTTTTCAATTTACAAAAATAAACAGGAGGTCCTCATTGCCGCAGCATGGAGTTATATTTCTGGGGAGGTGCACGTCAGGCTGTGGTGTAGGCTGTAGCATATGGTAGACAGCTACTCAGAGCCCAAGCTGTAAATATAGCATTGATTCAACACAGAAGTATAAATTTGGTTTAAGTTACCCAAATCACTATAACACATGCTGTCGGCCATTAGTGATTTGGTTTAAGTTACCCAAATCACTAATGGCCGACAGCATGTGTTCTTGTTCTATTCTTGTATTATTATTTTAGAAATGTCTGTCTGTTCAAAAGATAGTTGTTTGGTTGTCAGCCAAACAAAATCTTTAATTTTATTTACATTTAAGTTGCAAGTGGTCAAGTTGCTGTTAGTGATGGTTTTACTTCAGCACTGCAGGTTACTTGATCTTTCTCTCTTTTCTACCACAGGAGCTGAAGTGGAGTCTCAGCCCACAGACTCCCATCTCCTGGCTCAATGTTTACATGCAGGTGGCCTACCTGAAAGAGACGGACGAGCTGCTCATCCCCAGATACCCACAAACTACCTTCACACAGATTGCAGAGGTATGGGGTGTGTGTGTGTGTGTGTGTGTGTGTTGCCCTAATGACGAACTAAAGTATCCATGTGGTCCTTCAGTAATACATAACAAAAACAGAACTACGAGGCTTTCAGTAGGTCTGCACAGTTCTGTTGATTGTGAAACAACATGTCTTGTTAGTTGTTGTCAAGAGTGACACGAGTATGCGTTTGGCTCGCATTTACTATATTTACACCACATGCATGTCTCCAGGTAGCCTGGCATTGCCAGACCCAAATGGATCTGGACACGGAGTGTACATTTCCTCTATTCCAGAGGGGAGGTATCAACGGCTCTCACTCAAAGTGCCCCTTCACGCAGTTGGAAAGACGGAAAACCAATCAGAGTAAACGAAACGTGTGACGTAGGCTAGCACAACGCCACTGTAAACAGACCAGCAAGCTGCAGCGGAGATGAGCTGTGATAATGTCTGGGAAAGAGTGTTGCCATCTTTGCAGATTTCCTCCTCACTGTGGATTCAGAGTTGCATGGCTGTGATTCCCAGCTTAGTCGTTTCCCTGACCTGCTCCTCCATGAGAGCAACTAGCGGAGAAACAACAGTAGCCACTGGGTTTTCACTGAGTCCCATCTTTTTCCCGATCGACGGAGCCAGTTGGTAAATTAAACTTTTACCAAACCCTGTAGGAGGGACGACAAACACATCCTTTTTTCAATAAAAGCTTTCAGTGCAGCCGATTGCTCTGCTTTTAAAGAAAATGTACATTCCAGTTTGTTCAACACATTTACCATCGCAGTTTCAAAATCAGTAGCCATGTTGGTTGTTTACAAAATGCATTCACTCCACTCCTTGTCCCTCCTATTCTGATGAACGGTTGTGATTGGCCCGGTAAGCTTTAACCGACACCAGAATGCGCCTTTATGATTGCATGGCCAGACTGATCTGCGGAGCAAAATCGAATATGAGCTCGTGAGATTAGGATGGTTTCACCAGGCTAGTCTCCAGGTACATTCACTTGCAAATGCTGAACCTCCCCTACCTGCTTTCAGTGAGATTTTTTTCCCACCACAGACGGGTGTCCGTTTTACATGTCCAGTGAGTGATTGTAAATAATGATAGATATAAATGTTTTTTATTGATGAGGAACAAGTTTTGATCAATTGAAAACAAGAAAAACATGCTGCATTAAAAACCTACAGATGGCTAAATGTTTTTGTAAAAATTCAGCTCTAGTATCTATAAACTGCAAAGTGGAGCAGAGCTAGCCTGACATCACCAGACCAAAATCGCAAATGCAAGTTAGTCTGGAACCTCTCAGTTCATTTTAACCTGGAAATGGCTACAGCATGCAGAGATGAGCTGTGATGGTGTAGCATCAATATGTCTGTAAGCAGTGTTGCTGTTTTTTGCCATCAGAATTTCAAAGTAGTACAACATAAAGTTCCATACCAGCTGCAGCCATCTGGGTTGTTTTCTAAAATGCCTCAGTAGTGTCCCCAGCATGGGGGATGTCATTGCATATTTTGTGTAAAGAGTAAAGGCTTCACAAGTTGTCAGTTACAGTCTCAAACATGCCCTACATCAGATTAACGGTTGTGATTGGCCTGACCTGGGCAGGTCGGCTGGAAATCTGTCTGAATGGGATGAGGACCAGATGCATCTGCCAGCGCAAATAAAATATGGGCTCACTTTGTCCAAGGAAGTGACAAAGTGAAACTTGAGGGTGAAATATAGTCTCCTAAACAGCCTTTGAGTGAGGATTTAATTCAGAGGAAGCCAGTATTGGGTCCTAATCGTTCTCATAATTTGGTTTTAAAGGCCTCACCGACCTTCTGAGATAGCATACACATACATAAATCACTTTACACGATCTGTGGATTTTGCATTACCACCAGATAAGCTTTTACTTGGTCAAGTTCAGGGAACAACACAAAATGCTGTGCTGCTACTAAGACCTGGTCATTCTACTTGTTGCTGCCCTACAGTCACCAGCACTGCAGTGTAGGTATGAGGAGCATAAACAGTTCTCTTTATTCAGAAATGTAGTACACGCAGTATTTACATCCTTTCCACAGCTGATTCTGTCATGATATAGTAGGAGTATTTGCAGTATGCCTTTTGAGGTTTGCTTTTCTGTTCAGTTTTTTTCATCTTTGTCTTTTTTTTTTCCCCTCCTCCTAGTTGTTGGACCTGTGTATGCTTGATGTGCGTTGCCTTGAGTTTTCCAATGGCGTCCTTGCTGCTTCAGCCCTGTTTCACTTTTCCTCTCTGGAGCTGGTGGAAAACGTCTCGGGTAAAGGAATAAACAAAATAACGATTTACTCCTTAAGCAAAAGTTTTATTAAAACATACCACTATTTTTTTAATGTTTGTTTTTCCTGCTGCTGTTACCCTGGTTGTGTTGCCCTGACTTATCACTTCTTTCTGTCCATGCAGCTCTGAAGAGGGTGGAGTTAGAAGAGTGCGTGAGGTGGATGGTGCCATTCGCCATGGCTCTGCGAGAGGTTGGTGGGTCGTCTATGAAAACATTCCCAGGAATCCCTGCAGATGACATGCACAACATCCAGACGCATGTCCCTTACATGACATGGCTGGTAAGTGAAAGTATTGTAATATATGATGTTTTTCAATTTTAAAATGTAGCAAAATTTGCTGCCCATCAAAACAGCTATTTGTGAATCACTGCAAGTTTTTATTTTAATTTTAAACTGAGGAAGTGAGCTTAAATGCCTGGTAGCTATAACCTACAAATGAACACATCTGAAATTCTTTCATCCACTATTTAAGCTGAGGATGCGTGTATATTACAACATCATTTTTAGTGATAATGGAGGGCACTATATGGAAAAAAAAGTTTAAGCCTACCTCATAACTTTTGTAAAAATACTTAACTGAAATATTGTCTACAAAAAATGTTGAATAAGCTACTCAACATTTTTTACATGGCACCTTTCATACAAACATGCAGCCTAAAGTGCTCCACATGGCAAAACTGGAATGACACATACCCAATAAAAAGGATAACACAAACAACTACACACAAAGTTTTGTAAGACTAGAAAATTACAACAATAAGACTTTAAAAAAAGCAAACCAAACAAACCAGAACAAACAAAAAAAAGATGATTAAACTCTTTAGAATAAAAAGAAAGTAAATAGATAAAATAGAATAAAAACAAACAGGAGGGATAAAATAAGGTAAAAGCCAGTGGTTAAAAAATCAAGACTGTAATGTTACTCCACATTAAAAGGTAGGTCTTTAATTTACTTTTTAAATAAAGCTATTAAAAAGCCTCAAACACAGATCTATTCCTTTTGTACTGGAAATTCCACGTCATGCAAATATGAGTTTAACTGATGAGCAGAAACTGTTTCACTCAAATGTTTCTCTGGATGTATGAAGAGAACTGGACACAGTGTTGGAGGCAGAACCCTGTTTATTCTTATAAAAGTGGTGCATGAAGTTATAATTCCAGGTTCAAAATAACCCAGATCTCCTGTATCCATAAAAGCAAGCACACAGGTGTTTTCTTTAACCCCTCCCTCCAACCGCTCAGTCTCGGGCTCGCTCACACGAAGAAGAGCAGGAAAATAACTCTGGATTCAGTTATTAGTGAATTTTGCAACATTTAGGTCATTATGATACAAAACTGGTTAAATATCGGCAATGTGTCTCCTTAAATAGATCTTATATGAATCATGACAGTGTTGGTAGTGTTTGTATATTAACTATGGTCAGCTTCCGACTATCTTACCTGCTGGTCCTTCTTCCTGCTCCTCCTCTTTGCTGGCTCTGGTCAAGTGTCCTAAAAAACAGATTGCTCTTCCACATTTTCATGTGCCCTCCAACACAGAGTGCAGAGGAGGGTCGAGAGAGAGACACTCTCGCCCTTGCTCTATTTCATACTCTGATCAAATGCTAAACTAAGCAGTGCTGATCAAAAATAAAAGAGAATCCTGTTACAATATTGCCTATTCCATACCTAAAACGTTGGCAGAAACGTATTAGTGGACTGTTGAGCTGTAATATGAGAATATGTGAAAAGGGAGTGGGCACCAAACAGTTTTTTTCAGCTTCTGTTTTTACAATAAAAGAAACAGAGACCAAACAATAAAATCAAGTAGTGCTAATAAGTGATCATATCACAGCTAAATCAACCGACCGCCATTTTGTTTCCTGTGTCAAAATGGACAAGTGTGCATTACTTCACCCGCCAGCATAAGTGTTGATTGGTCAGGTGCAGCATTGTGTATTCTGGTAGTTATAGGTTTTCTACATCTAGAGCAAAGCAAATGTCACAGTCCTTTTTCTGTTTTCTGTGGTCATATATAGGGATGGGCATCAATTTTCGATTATCGATGATTGATTGTTAAGGCTTTTGATCGATCACAAATAATTTTGATCGATAGTCGCAGTGTTTCCCTACAATTCCTGGCATAGGTCCGGCGAGCCGCCGTGCCAACAAGACCCCCCGCCCGGCAAGTCGCCGTGCCAATGAGACCCTTCTGCCCGGCGAGCACAGCGGCTTGACGGGCCTACGAGATCCCCTCTGGACTTATGCCAGGCAAAAAATCATTAACAGACGGAAGCTCTCATCGCTCTCCAAAGCCTCGGCGGCTTCCCTTGAGGCCTCTGAAAACACTATTATGAAAAGACCATCTTTCCAGTAGTGAAATACTTATTTAGTGTTCGCAAGGAAGTTGATACATGTAAAATAAAAAAATTCCACTCATGTACACACATTTCTTTCACAATGCAAGTCCATGAGAAAGTGTTTTTGGGCCCCTTGGCATTATGTGACGGACCCAGATGTTGCAATTCCACAGTTTGACCACTTTTTCAAATTGGCTTCAAAGCCCAGCTTGGTTCCTATGGGCTTGCTCTCTACACTGAAGGTTTCAAATTCCACAGTACGCTGGCACAGTTTGCATAATAGACCTGATTGGCTTTCACTTCACGTGATGTTACCAACAATGCTCTGATAGGCACGCCTCAAAGTCAGATTTTAGAAGCACATTGAAATCACTGCCACTGCTCTCTAGTGACAGCAGAGTTAACCTGTGTATTTCTGCTGTGTACAGGACAAGGCCTATTCCTACCAGGATGTGGAGTTGGAGCGTCACGGCACCTGTCCTGTACCTCCAGGTGTCCTGACTCCACCCCAGAGCAGTGAGAAAACCGAAGAGTTGAACCGAGTGGATACCACAACGCTGAAAGTCAGGCCCAGGATTCAGACTTCATCACCACAACGACACCTTCCAAAGTAGTGAAGCAAACACTGAAGCTGACAAGACAACAGCAAATCCCAATTCGACTTTAAGCTGTAAGGGGAAGAAAAGCAATTCTGATGTGTTGATTCTGAACAGCGACGCCACTGCAGTACCAGCACACATGTTAGGACTGATGGATGAATTTTCAGTAGGGAAATATGGATGGCTATATCACTGATTACTTGGATCCAGGTGCTTTTTAAATGTCTATGTATTGGGTGCACACAGTGACTTTGAAATCGGAAATGCTGACATGCAGTGAGCAAACACTTTGGACGGCCCTATCCACACAGGAATCTGACCTGTTTAACCCTCCAGTTGAGATGAAAACGCATCGCAAAGGGCTGTTAAGGATGGGACAACTGAAGAGTATTTTTTTTTTTGACGAGGAGTGCACCCAAATGCTTGCATTAATTACCAGCCACACCTACATTTTGTGGTTGCCATTTTTATTTTCTATGCAGAGGCCAAATTGAATGGACATTTTATGGAGTCTCTACTTGATTTAGCATGTGTGTGTATGTGTGTGTGTGCGAGACTGTGTGTGAGTGTGTCTGTGTTTGGGGGGGGAGGGTGATTGCTGTTTTTAATCTATAAGTGGCCTCATTTGCCCAAAAACTATTCCTAGGGTCATATTTGGCTCTCTGCTGCTATAAAAGTGGGCTTTGCATGACGGAGGGGGAAGAATGTGTGTCTGTGTGTGAAATAGTGTGTTGCTCTTGTTTTTTGGTTCTACTCTTGTCATTTTAGTGGACAAAACATGGCCATGTTTTGCTTAGGGACCAGTAGCTTGGCTACCTAAATGGACTCATGAACCAGCCAGGCTTCAGAAGCTAAAGTATTGATTGTATTTAACTTGCATTTTTATCCCAACCTGCGGTTTGTTTCCCCACCACCAAAATGTAAGATTATATTTGACTTTTTTAAATAAAATGCTGCTACATATTTCCTCTTTTAATTAAACACTCCTTTGTTGTGTATGGGTTTTCAGTTATAAGCCTTTTTGACATTGTAGTGCACAAAACCACTCTGACCGATTTTTTTCATGAAACTGTTACAGACTTTTCCCTCACCCCTGCAAGAAAAAAAAAATCACAGATGCACACAGGCTTTATTCCACTAGATGTCAGTGTGATGCTGTCAGTTTGAATGCCTTCTGTTCTCGCCAAGAAGGAGAAACGTGCAAATATAGCATCACTTAAGTATCATTATTCATTGACCAGATCAGATATCAGAAACAAAAAAAGATCAAGTCTCAAGCAGGGTGTCTGCAGGTCTTTAAACCTCTTCAGATGTCTTAAAGTCAAGGTGGTCCACCTTGAAACTGCTAATTGTGTAGATCTTCTGTGCTGCCAGGGGGAAGATGTGTGTAAATCATCCATGTTTTCACTGACACGGATGTAAACTGTAAGAGAAACTAATTCAGCGAGCTCCAGAGGTCAGTTAGGAGAGAGCAGCAAAGGCAGGGGCTAGTCTTATTTTTGAAGTTTATGATGAATTGATAAAAGATACAAGGTCAGGTCCATATATTTGTAAAGCCTGCCTGTCACAACAGGGATTTTGCCAAAACTTGAGACCTGTATCATGTCAAGTCTTCAGAAAGCAGTGTAGAGAGCCAACTAATTTCTCAAGTCTTCATTTTTGTGAGCATTGGCCATTTAGGGGCATGATAGTGATAAGGTTGCAGATTGCAACCAACTGAGTACTGCTCCTCTCACCCTCCCTTTCCAAGCATATAGGAAAAACCTAAGGCAGGCTTCAGGTTCCGACCGGTGCATTCACACAACCAAATTCAAATTGCCACTGTACTGTAAAAAACGCTGAAGGCCCTCTGGAGACCAGTGTTGGGTCTGTCTGTTCTGGGATACTGCAGAAACATGGTGGGCTCTGTGGAAGAGGCCCTGCTCTCAAGTCATGAAATTAGTCTGCAGATCGGCAACAGAGCATCTAAACATCTTGATGTACTTCAGCAACAAGGTAAATCCTATGTGTTGCAACCCAGAATTACTGTATTTGGACCTTATAAAGTCCTTGGTACAGTAGCCCTGAGGTGCAAACACAACACTGGGTAAAAACATGAGTAAAATAGGAATCACAACATTTCACAAAATGGACCTGTGCCAGAAAGCAGGGGGGTTGTACCACGAGGCAAGCTGGACAGAGCCAGGCTTTCTTTTTCATAGCTAGCTCGGCAAAGCCTAAAACCCAGAACCGAGGTAATGGGGAAACCACGATGGTGGTTAGCAACTTTCTTTGTTAACCCAGGTTTCCTTCCTCTGGCTCTGTGCTTGTCCAATTAAAAAGGGGCATTTGGTGCAAATAATGCAGGAGAGGAATGTTGGCAGAAACTTGTTAATCATGTATTGTCATCAGAGAATATATTTATTTTACCACTCAATGCCCTTTCAGTGCCTGCCATTTATTTCTAGCATGACAGCTGCACATTGCACAGCTCTTAAATTTTAAACATGATACAGCAGAGTAAGAAGTTATAGTCAAGAATAGCATCTAGGTCGGATACGTGGAAATCACTCTCGTTGCCAGATCAAATTAAAGTTGACTGAATATTATTTGTGATAAATACCAAAGGATTAATCAGTTCTGTGTTAGCTGCAATACCAGTAGTGGAAATCACACTTCAGCAAATAAGGACCAGGTATATAAATCATGAGTACAAAGACGAGTTTGATAGAAACGTAATAACCATCGTCATGGTACCTATTATCTCATAAATAGATAATATAATATATACCATATTTTTTCCTCTTACCTGTAGTGCTGTTCATTAGTCTAGATTATTTTGGCATGAGTTGCAGATTGTTGGAGATATCAGCTGTAGAGATGTCTGCCTTCTCTTCAATATAATGGAAGATGACACTCTGCTAGTGGAGCTTAATTTAAAGCGCCAGATAAAAAAATGAAGAACTCAACAGCAATGTCACGTTCCAGAAATCATGACCCGGTTACTCAAGATAATCCACAGACCTTGTTGTGAGCAGTTTCATGTAGGAAGTATTTTCTTTTTACTGAGCTACACCCACTAACTGTATCACCACGTGGAAGGAAGTGTACATCTACTCATGGACGAGAGGCTTGCGCTCATGACAGCTTGAGATGTAAACATTAATGCCGTCCTCCTCTGCTGAGCTGTATCATAGTTAGCTCAGTGGTGCTAGGTGAGCTAGCAGTTAAATGCATGTCTCTTTCTGCATGGTGATACAATTGACAGGTGCAGTTGGGTAGAAAGGAAATAGTTCCTACACAAATACTGCTCACAACAAGGTCTGTGGATTATCTTGAGTAACCAGGTCATGATTTCTGCAAAGAGACATTGCTGTTGAGCTCTTCAAATGTGTTTTTTGGTGCTTTTAGCCCCACAAGTAGAGTGCCATCTAGTTTTTATTATATTGGAAAGGAGGCAGATATCTCTACGGCTGATATCTCCAACGTTTTGCAATGCACACCAAAACAATCTAGACTAATACATAGCATTTTAGCTAAGAGTAAAAAATATTTGTATGTATTTTTGTCTGAACAAAAACTATGAACTGTCCCTTTAACCTGGAACTGTGCTTGCCTCCCTGTAAGCATTCACTGTAGAATTATAACACTGAACTGATGGTGGCTCCTTTGTCATGATAGTTACAATCATTAGTTTGGCCATTATGGTTCAGTGTTTTAGGCTATTTTAAGCCAGGCTTTTCACAATTATCCCTGCTTTATCTGAATCTGAGCCATCTTCATGAAACACCCCTTTGATCTTTGACAACTGCCACACAAGAACCAGCTCTACAATCAAACACTGGAGACGGTCAATAGCCACACAGAAACTCGACCAGCAGCCACACTGAGGTTCTTGTTAACCACCAGCATAGATCTCGATTTGTTTGTCTCCAGTGGTTAGTTTCTTCTCTGTATGTTGACGCTGCCACTGGTGTTGTTTGCTCTAGCTGAGCAGAGTTAGAACCAGGCCAGACCTCCCTCAGGGCCTCGCCACCGTCCCATGTAAACAAGATGCTACAGTGTATATTAGCAGACACTTTGATGTCTCCAGCTGACTTAGTTTCTCTTCTCTTACTCTTAAATATTTTATTGACTTACGCTAATTCACAACAGCCGAGTGAGAAATTGACTATATCAAGGGCTATGACTGCTGTTTTTCAAAAACTCAAAAGGATCAGTTTATCTTGTGGTGTATGGTAAACACAAACATGGCAGCAGCACACACTGTATGAAAATCTTGTATGATTTCCAGTTGATCACTTTGAGTTGGTGAAGGGCCAGTGATTGTTCAGGGGCCTCCAGAAACCCTGAAGTACCCTTAGACTGTGAGAAACATGTCTGTGTTGAAATGCTCAGGGACTCTTGATGTACATGTTGGTCTGTCTGTCAGGCTGTTTTAAATGTGTGTCTGCCTCCCTCTTGTGGCTACTCTAATTAAGTGCAGGTCCACTTGCTGAGCCACTGATTCCCCCACAGGAGCCTCATGCTCTCCCCTCACACACAGAAAGAAAAGGATTCGAGAGAAAAATTAATGTTTTTAACACACCATTAACTAAACATTGCTTTGACAAACTTAGCAGAAATAGACTGAAATTTCACGAAGACATTGTTTTGCAGAACTGATGCATTTAATTGCATTGGATTGAGGCCGTTTTGCACAAGATGAGTTGTGTTGGTTGATTTTATTTAACAGGCTTGTTTCTGTCATCAGTTAATTCCCTCTCTATAAGAATTTCCCCTGCATAAAGTGTGTGCTTCCAAGTTGAGCACAAAATCTGAAAAAGAGATTACAAATCATGTGAGTAATGTGAATATGCTCCAAGAATCCACCAAGTTTAAATGCCTTCTTTGAATCTTTGTCAGTTAGCTAAGATTCAAAATTCAGAAACTACATCAATGTTTCATGGCTTGGCAGAACAGTTTTGGAAATCCTGAGCAGGAGAGAGTTTGGCAGTAAAGACACATATAAAGTTTTTATTTAGAGCTTTTCTTTTTGTGTATTAATTATGCTGCTATTAGGTGGCTATGCCAAACACACACAAATACATCCCTGAAGTGTGAAATGTGACTGTGTGAAAATACATAGCTTTACATTTGGAAGCATCTAAAAAGGTGTAGTACATCAAAACTGACAATAATGTCTCTCTGAAGTAGGGAAGTTATGTGTCATGTGTTGCCTTTTGGTTTCTGAGGTCCCTTGTTCTGAATGAGTATGGATACAAACTTGTTTCACAGCAGATATTTCAACTTGTCAGCAAGAAAAGCAATGTGTAACTAATGACACTGATGATGGTTTCCGTTCCATTAAATGTCACAGTTAGCTATGCCAATGTATGGAGGGTTGATGCATTCACTTGAGAAACTTTTTTTTTTGTTTTGGACTGAAACTGGCACACCTAAATCAAAATAAAGTAGATTATGAGGTTATCAGCAACACGTGTGCTTTTCCTGTTGAAGTAAGTCAAAGTGTCTGCAATATAAAAGGCCTTTTATATTGCATGTGTACTGATTTCAATATTTTTGTGTACTACAGAGTCTTTAAAGTTTTGAATTCTTAAGAAAAATAAAAGTATAATATGAACAACATTAAGTGAAACACTGATTATATGAAAAAGGCGGATTTACAGCAGCTTTAAATGGAACAGATATTCAAGCTTCACAGCTGTGTCCTTTGAGTACAATATGATCTGAAATAATAAAAAATATTTGTCAATGAGAATTTTTTTGTAGATTGATGAATGAATAAATGAATGAATTAATTATTATTGTTATTGTTATTGTTATTATTATTTATTTCATTCAATTTTATTTTATTATTTTCATGTCTGGGTATTTGTCTGACCCATCCTTCAAATGTATATGAATGTAAACCCAGTAATATCTAATAGAATAATACAGTGACCTCATATAAATATGAACAGCCTACTTTTTATGTCCCAGGAGATTGCCAACAAT